GAGCCGGGACTGTAACACAGGTACCCCAAGTAGAACTGAACAAACAGCTGATTTTTGGATTCTGTGGCAGTTCCAAAAAATCAGAAAAGACAATTGCTGCAGGTTGAACCAAATCTGGAATTTTCAACAAACCAAAATGCAACAGAAAATCCACTTTGGATTAAAAATCCCACGTCACTCAACTGGAAACATTTGACTTCCAGGCATTTTTAAAAGGGTCGATTCACAAGGATCTTTAGGTTCCATTCATAAAATGGGCAGTGGAGAATGGGGCCCAGCTTGCCTTTATGACCTTTGGCCCAGTGGTTTGAGTTCTAGGTTGTGATGTGCGAGACCCAGATACTAATCCCAGTCCTGGTAAGTGCCCTAACCCTAGCGACAGGCTGCTCGGGGGGGTGTCTCTCAGACTCTTCTGTTGAACCCGTCCCACTTTGTATCAAAAATTACATGTTCATTGTTGCAGGGACTTGAGTCAAGGTCTTCTATCTCCCAGCTGCATGCTCCGACCACTGGGCTGTACAGTCATTCTCATGTTTGCTCCCTGAGTTAATGCCTATTGAGGTATTTTATGCAAAGTGGAATGGCTTCAACAGCAAGCCTGAAAGAGATCCACCACTGAACACTCTATGGCCCGGGGTTTAGGGCACTCCCCTCAGAGGCGGGAGGCTTGCATTTAAATTCCTGCTCCAGCACAGGAACTTGAAGCTGGGTCTCCAGCATTGCAGGTGAGTGTTGCAACCATTGTCTAAAACACAGACCTCTGCTGCTTTCTTCTCCTCCAGCCATTTTGTGAACAAGCCCTAAGTCTCTTTGTCAATCCAGCCCTCTCACTCCCGAAAGTATTAGGCAAGTTCATGTCAGATAGTTTCAGTCAACAAAAACTGTATTTTTAGGTGAATAAACTGTTTAAAATGAAACATTTTATCCAGTTCTAATCCCAAATGCTAGAATGATGCCCTAACTAGTAGAACGTCCTTCCATCTTCCTTCCTTCTTCCTTCATATCTTCCTTCTTCCTCTTTCCCTTCTCTGTGCCCCCAATCCTCTCTCCTCAGCATATCTGCCCTCACTTCTTTTCATTTAGCCAAATCCTTCCTGACTAAACCCCACCCCAAAGCAGTAATCAGAATTAAAAACAAAAAGGCCTGGCTCTTCTGTGACATTGTGAGGCTTTGACTCTCTTTCTTCTGTTTCTGTGTTGTCTCTAGGCTTGGTAGAACTGGATAATATTGATGTTTATTTTTAAACATTTTTTATTATTTGTATTGATTTAAATTTTCACAGTTGTGGGAAATTATGAGGAGGGTCAGAGAGTTTTTTAATGACAGTAGCTGCTGAGATTCAAACTGTTAAAGCTTTGTAACCACGAAAACTCAAAGTCAGCATCACATCACAATGTACAGAGTAAATAGCCCTAAATCAAACTCTAATTAGTTCTCAAACAGCATTTTTCTTACTTAGCCCAACTGTAAATTTTTCACACCCCTGACTGACAAAAGTTTTACCAACAAAAGTGCTAGTGTAGACAAAGCCTGAGACTCTCTGACTCTGCGTCTGTACATTGCACAGCACAATGGGGCCAGGGCCAGGTTTCTGGATGGTCCTGTTACAGCCTGGCCATAATACAAAGGAATAATGACAATAATATTGCTTTGTCAATATTCATAAAAGCTGCAATTTTAGAGAATTACTGCTGCCCCGTAGTGCCCATAGGACAGGATACCTGCCACTTTCCCATCCCTCACCCTCTACCGGGGTAACCATTAAACAGTACAGCATCCCCTTTGTCATCAAGCATCCCCTTTGCCTTGTTTGCCATCCAATGGCTCTTACAGTGAATAAATGCCTGTTTCTCAATCCTCACCCTCTGCTTGTGAGGTCAGTAGTTCATGGCCTGTAGAAAGCACAGGAGGTTAACTAATGAGAATGGGGAGGCGTTACCCTCTCAGGTGCCGAAGGATGGTGTAGTGATAGAACCTGGAGCATGATGCGGGACATCTGCATTCAATTCCCTGCTCAACCACAGACTTTCTGTGTGGATTTGGGCATGCCCCGTAATCTACCCTGTGCCTCTGTTATACGGAGATGTGAATTCCCTACCTTCCGGCAGTGATTGTGAGGTGTCCTGTCATTTTATTTTTGTGATTCATTTTTTTAAAATTTTCATGAAGAAACAAACAATTGTTACAGCCCATACATGTTGCCTGACACTGCACATTTTACAGGCTAGCTAAAAAAAATATGCAATTATGCAACTTTGCAACTTGTCAAAACTACAAGACTAGGCAATAGAAAATCAGACAAACCTTGCCTGCAAGGGAGGGGGTAACAACATTTTTTTAAAAAGACACAAACTGGCAAAAAAAATGAAGTTGGGGAACGGGGGCAGGAAGTGGGAGGGAGAAAGCAGAGAGGTCCGGAGGAATGGAAGTCAGGCATTACTTCAGCATTTTTTATCCAAAAGTATCTGGAAACAGGGCCCACATTTCTTCAAATTCATATAATTTCTTTCCATATCGACAAGCTCTTCTTTCTTGAGGTGTCCCATTGTTAATGTTGGTGAGGGCCACCTCACATACCTAGATAGAATGACTTGAACGGATCATTTCCCACCTTTGAACACACAACAGGTTATGAAAATTCTATGCGCTCTGAAAAATCTTGGTGTCTCAAGTGGGGGTCCCCAGTGGCTGAGGCACCCAAAATCAATGTATCCTTTCAAATATTTTGTCATTCAGCCGGGATTGTCAAGGGACCTAGTGGAGTTAGGTAACACAACCCCACTGAAATTTAGATCCCTAACCCCCTTAGGATCCTTTGATAATCCCAGTGTAAATTGTTCTTTTATTTTATATTCTTACTTGAGCTTAGTGTATGGAATTGCCTAACTCGAACCAAGTGTAATACAGTTCAATTTTATTCTGAATGTAAAGATCCTGGTATTGACTGATCTCACATTTCATATATTTGCACATCCTCAAATATTATAGCAGCACATTCCCAAAGGCCTAGCCAGAACTAGGGACCACCCAGAATCTGGTTCTATAAAACAATAAGCCAGCTCTGCATCTCACCATTTCCCTTAATACAGTAAGAAATAAAAACCTTGTGATTTCTAATTTCTTGTAAAATCTACACATTTACTGACAATTTTTCTCAGGGCCTCTTTCACCTCTTTGTTTCTCAGGCTGTATATGAAGGGATTGGCCATAGGTGTCAGAATTGTGTAGCAGACAGAGAACACTTTGTTTAGGTCTCTTAGTGTGTTGGTTTTTGGTAGCAGATACACAATGATCAGGGTCCCATAGAAAATGGTCACCACGATGAGGTGAGAGGAGCAGGTAGAAAATGCCTTTTGCCTCCCGGTGGTGGAAGGGATTCTCAGGATGGTGAAGATGATACACACGTAGGACATCATGGTTAATACAAATGGAGGCAGAGTGAATATAGCAGCCAGGATGGTAATGACAAGCTCTATCTGGTTGGTGCCATTGCAGTAGAGATTTAACATTTCTGTGGATTCACAGTAGAAATGATCAATTTCATTGGGGCCACAGAAAGTTAATTGTAACATAAGAAATATTACTATGATAACAGCCAGAAATCCATTTATCCAAGATCCAGCTGCTAACTGCAGGCAGAACCTGGTATTCATGAGGGCTGCATAATGGAGCGGTTTGCATATCGCCAAGTACCGATCATATGACATCACTGCTAGCAGATAGCATTCTGCAGCAGCAAAGAAACTAACAAAATAAAATTGTATCATACAACCACAAACAGAAATGGTATTGTCCCCTGTCAGGAAACTGGCCAGAACCCTGGGCAGGAGGGTGGAGGTGTAGCAGGTCTCCAAGCAGGACAAGTTCCCCAGGAAGAAGTACATGGGGATGTGAAAGTGCCGATCAGCCACAACTAGCACAACAATGAGGATGTTCCCGGCCAAGGTCACAATGTAGATCGCTAGAAACAGCAGGAAGAGTAGGGCCAGCAGTTCAGGAAGATCCCTGAATCCCAGGAGGACGAATTCTGTGATGGACGTTTGATTCTTCCCTTCTGTGTTTGCCATGGGGTGTATCTAGGAAGGATAAAAAGTGAGGAAGAGAAAAATACGTCTTGGAGATTATTGGCAAAAACATACTTAAGCTTTAACCCAGCAAAGAAGAAGTTGGGGGGGAAGGAAGCCCCCTGGTTTGATAATGGAGTTGCAGGAACAGAGCTGGCTGGCATGTTGACTCTTTGGATATATTATCGTAAGTTTTATGCAGCAGATTTAACAAAATATCAACATCTCTCGAATCGGACCAGGAACCCAGTTGCTATGTTGAAGGGTCTGAGAGCCCACCATAATGGGCAGCCATTTAGACACACATAGTTTGATTCACATCATCTCATATCTCTTCTCATAACAAAGTTTGTCCAAATGTGGGATACCATTACTGAGAAAGTCTTCATATTTTTGTATAAGCCCAATCAATCAATCAATAAATCTAGTGTTGGACATCAGACTAGAGGATCTAATGGTCTTTTGTGGCTTTCCAATCTATACATCTATGATTGTACCTCTGTGATTCTTTCACACTGTTACACAGTTCCAAAATATCAAAAATTCCCAACAGGTAGAGCCAGATTTACCACCTTTAGCAAATATTAATAAGAGTTGAACATCCTTTCCATTATATAAGTTGTGGAACCTGAAAATGTTGTTAAACTGTGCTGGGAATTCTTTCCCTGTAACATGAATTCTTGGACTATTAAGGCTGAGACTTCAATAGTACTCTATAGGAGTTAGGCACCCGCTCCTCTTGATGAGTTGGGCACCTAAATCCATTAAGGCACTTAGAAAATTCCAACCAATATTGGTAGGAAAGTTAAAACTTTTATTTCACTGATTTTTCTATTCTCTCTCTCTCTCTCTCTCTCTCTCTCTCTCTCTCTCTCTTCTTAAGTAATCAGCTGTATGTCCATCTTAAGTAATCAGCTGTATATCCATCTCTCTATCTCCCATGTATATAGAATGGGTGCTGTGTGTCTGCAGGCTACAGCGTCCCTGTTTCACCATCTGTATTTATCTCCAGCAGCTACAACTGGCTTTGTACCCTGCTATGGAATCCTCTCTGGGACCTTGTGACCAGTGTGAACCTCTAGTGACTCAGGATGGCCTCTTCAAAACAGGTGGGATCGATTGGTTCACATAACTAGCAGAGGGAAACAGGGTAAAAACAATTAAATCCTATGCACATATTGTCTGATTTCACACACCATTTCAGTCTCTTGCTGAAGTTCTCATAATCATCATCGCAGCCGTCCAGGAGGCTCCAGTCTTCCCTGGAAATGTTTTCCTTCAGGGTTGCCTTGTCGAAAGCTACCGGTTGGTGCCTTCTGTTCGCCGTACACAGTGCCTTTTTCTCCACCTTCACAGTGAACGTGAGTCTGGCTCTCAGCAGGCGATGGCCGCTTCCGGTGTTGAACGATGGCACTACTGAAATATCCTGCACGAAGCGTCGTCTATCTATCAGGAAGTAATCAATTTCATTCTTTGTCTTCGCATTTGGTGCGATCCGGGTCCATCTTCTGTTGGCCTTCTTTCGGAACCAGGTGTTACCAATGAACATTCTTCTCATCTCTGCCAATATATCTAGTCATTCTCGCACGTTTCATTCTCCAGTGCCTATGAACTTTTCGCCCTCTCTCCCTCTTCCAACCCTTGGCGTTAAAATCTCCCATCGCAATCCTTTATATGGAACTCTGAGCGAGGGTTTCCTCCAGCTCCTGATAGAATCCTTCCATATCATCATCTTCGCATGCACTTGTGGGAGCGTAGATCTGGATGATTTTGAGGGTACTGTTTTGGTTCAGTAGGAGGTAAAACACCCCAATACGTGATGACTTCAAATGGCATGAGATGATTTGTCTATCTAAACACTGCCTTTCCTTGCCAGTTTAAGAAGGTTCCACTTAACCCAGGTACCCCCAAAAAACAACGAGGCAGGTTGCCCCCTGGCCTCTCGGATAGTCTGACACCCCAGTCAGAATCTCTCCCCACTTATTCATAGATTCCAAGGCCAGAAGGGTCCCTGGGATCATCTAGACTGAATCGCTGTGAAACACAGGCCGTAAGACATCCCTGAATTAATTCCTGTTTGAACTAGAGCAGATCCTTCAGAAAAAACATCCAATCCTGATTTTAAAATTTCCACTGATGGGAAATCCACCATGACTCTTTGGTAAATTGTTCCAGTGGTTAATTACCCACACTGATAAAAACTGTGCCTTATTTCTCGTATGAATTTGTCTAGCTTCAACTTCCAGCTCTTAACCCTTGTTATAACTTTCTCTGCTAGATTGATGAGCCCACCCTTATCACATTTCTGATCCCCACATGGTTACTTATGTCAAAGTCAGATTCAGGACTCACATAATTTGTCAGACCACTCTGTTAATTAGCAAAGCGCTTTGCCAGTGCACCCAGATATGTGAGTCCCTGCAAAAGCTCAAGCTAACTTATTTATACAGACAAGCCAAAGTCAATTTAACATAAGAGACAAAAGGAAGCAGAAACTGACAAATATACATACATATCTTATTTGGATACTAACGTTTACCAATCTTCTAGTTCAGTTGGAGCTCTAAGTTAATTAGTTTGAGGACCCATTGCCTCACACTCCTTAATGTTTCTCTTCATGACAACTATAGTTCAACAAACTCTTCAAGTAGCATTTTTAATGAATTATAATTTCAATATAATTCATTCTACTTTCACAATCCCTCCTTTTGGTCAAGCTACGCAATGACCAACAATGACTGGGTTCCACATATCAATCGTTCTTTACCTCTTTTTTCATCAGTGATATTTAAAATCATCAAATTAGCACTCTGGTTTGGGGCAGCTATCTGTGTAGCATGCCTGACACAATTTTGGATACAACAGGAAAGTAACTGAAAACATACAAAAATTATTAGGATTCCAAACAGGAGAGTTAGGGCTCCCTGAAACAACCAGTTTCCTATGCCAGAGAAATTGAAAAGAACTTGGCTCTTCGTGGGGAAGATATGCGATTTGTTCTAAGTGGCTAGCATGATCTATTACCTCATTGGTGCTGGTATATACACACAGCAGTCTTTTCCAATGCCGCCAGCACTATGTCCAATGCCTGATGGTTTTGGAGAACCATCTGTCGGATTGCCCCTGTTTCTTTGGCCAGGGCTTTTAAACTTCCTCCAGTTTCATTTGCCATTATTTCAACTACTGCTTGTAACCTTAGGAGCCTTTTTGCATGGTGTATTACTCCCCCTAATGGTATTAAGGAACCGCCAATGGCCTCTTCCCAGGTTAAGGGGCTTATGTTATTTACATATCATTGGGCATCTGTTAAGTCCCTTCTTTTTCGCCTGAAATTGCGGAGGCGTTCTCGAGGGAAGGTTCCTAGCACTCAGAATTGTGGGAAGAGTCGGGCGGGATAACAGATTCCTGACCAATTAGCTGGTAGTGCGGTATAAGCTCTGGTCTCACACACCCAGTGATGGCTTATTAAGGCCAGGAAGGGTCAGCTGCACCCATTTGTCATATTGGTGTTTGCAAAGGAGGAGTAGTATCCCCCAAAGGGTACAGGTTAATTCTCCTTACGAGGAGTGGTGTTATTTGCATGACATTGAAAGATTGTATTGTTTTCACTAAGGTTACTGTAGGGGATTGATTTCTCTGATTGATCCCAGGTTGAGAAAAAATTCATATCTCCATACCTGGCCCGCCACTTTTTAGTTTTGTTTGAATAATCCCATACACCATTGGCCACAATATGCTGAAGGCAACAGCTTTTCCCCAGATCCAGCCCTGTCCCATTACACACCCAACACCAGTGACCTTTTCCCTCCACCACACTTATCCATTTAGATGCATTTATTCCCACCGCTTCCCAAGTGTCATTGCTGTTCCATATTTTGTTAAACGGACGAGGCCCTCCAGTGAAGTCTGGGGACTTGAGTGGGATAGCCAGGACAGGAACACCAGTTTGAGAGTGGGCTGGGATGTGGCTGCAGACCCAGCAATTAGAAATATTAAGGTTCTGAACTATCCACACCTGCTGCTGGATAAAAGAATTGTCATCGTGGTCTCCCCAGATCGTAAGATACCAGCAGCCGAGGAACAGGCAGAGGCGTGTGTTGGAGGCAAGGCTCTTCTGGGTCTGACAACCTCAACTGAGGGAACCACAGTCACGGTTTTACGCCCACCAGGCACTCGCTACTGCTTTTTTTTTTTTTTTTGTCGTCTGCTTCTGGCAACCCTTACGAGAGCGTAGATTGTAAGGTATTGCAGACTGTTCCTCTACGTCTTCTTCTGGAGTCAAAATTGACTCTGCGTTGTCCTGAGGTGATGATTGGTTCTCTGGGGATGGTGCCTTCTTACACTGTGAAGCATGTATCCATGCTGCGATGCCAGATAGTTTAACAGCCGTCTGTGTTGTAAGCAGTACCTGATGAGGACCCTTCCACCGGGGCTCCAAGGTGTGCTTTCAATGATGGCGCCGTACGTAGACCCAATCACCTGGCTCGAGGTTGTGGCAAGTGTCAGAGGTGGGTTCTGTGGGCCAGGGGGGCTCAAACCTGTGAATGGAAGTGACTTACAGCTTGCATTAGTCCCTTGCAATACTGAAGGAGCGCACTGTGAGTCAAGTTCAAATCTGGAATGGGAGTAATGATAGTCATAGCTCGCATAGGGCGTCCCATAACAATTTCAAAGGGACTTAATTTATGCCTTTGGGATGGAGTGGATCTCATGTCCATAAGGGCTAATGGTAAGGCTACTGGCCAGCTTAATCCTGGAGAGTCACAAATTTTAGCAAGCTTATTCTTAAGTACACCATTTCGTCTTTCAACTGCACCTGCACTCTGTGGGTGGTAGGGACAGTGCAACAGGTGTTTGATATGCAATATACGGTCCAGGTGTTGAACAAATTGTCAAGTAAAATGTGTACCCCAATCACTGGACAGAGTAGCAGGAATTCCCTTGGCAGGCACAATATGATTTAACAAACATTTGGCAACAGACAGTGAGTCAGCCTTGCGACAAGGAAAGGCTTCAATCCAACCAGAGAATAAACATACCATAACAATATGAATTCAT